CTTCGCCGGGTCTCCCGGGTCGGGGGGGGGGGGGGGGGGGTCCAGCCCGCGCCCCCCCCCCCCCCAGCACACCAGGGACACCCGAGCAAAGCCGCCCAGGCGGCGGGACTCCCGCCACCTGGGCAGCTTTGCTCGGGTGTCCCTGGTCTGCTGGGGAGGTCCAGCGGCTTTGCTGGACCCCCCCCAGCAGACCAGGAAGACCGGGAGAAGCTTTTCTCGCCCCGGAGGACACGGGTGGCGACCCGCCGCCCGTGAGCTCCGGGGCGAGAAAAGCCCCATTCGTAAGTGCGGATCCGACATAAGTCAGATCCGCGTAAGTCGGGGACTGCCTGTATCTTGTTTGCTGACAGTGGCCAATACCAGATGCCCTAGAGGTAGGGAACACAACAGGTAACCCTCACGTGATCCCTCTCCTGTCACCCATTTCCAGACAAAATTTTTAGGTGAAAATTTAGGTGAAAATTTCTAAAGCATAGAGAGAGGAGACTAGGGATGTAAGTGAGTAGTTAAGTAGCTGACTACCCGATAACCCTAGGTGTATTGGGTAGTCAAGTCGACTATTCACTTTCCCCTTCACCTTGCTGCCTCTGAATAGAATCTTTATCAGAGGCAGCAAGGGCAGGAGGAAGCAGGAGCCAGTGCTGGGGGGAGCCAAAGCCAGTTCCCACCAGTACCGTCTCTGCTGTGACACCTGGCTCCCCGTTGTGTTGCTGCCTCTATCAGAGGCAGCAGCTTGGAGGGGGGGCCGGGGAAGCTGCTGCAAAGCCGCCTCTGCCCACAATGGGCCAAAGCTCACCACAGGAGAAGGCTTTGCCAGCAGCAGCCCCTGTCCGCAGAGCGTACCAGCAGTGAGCTGGGATACCCACACATGGACAGGGGCTGCTGCTGTGAGGCAGCCTCTGCCAGCAGTGGCTGGGCTCACCCTGGACAGGGGCTACTGCTGGAGCAGCCGCTGCCCATGGCAGCCCCTATCTGCAGGCAGTTCCAGCTCCCCTCTGGACATGGGCTGCTGGACCTGATGCAAACTGGGACTAAGTAATCCGGGTCCTACTGCCACTGTGCCTCTGCAGTTTAAATAGTAGGAGCTGGCCTGCCTGTGCAGCTGGCTCTTAATACATTTAAACTGTGGAACTGCAACAGCCTTCCCTTATCGACTGATCATGTAGTCAATAAAAAATATTATTGACTACATAGTTGGTGGATTACCCGCCTCTTAACAACCTTAGAAGGGACAGTAAATCTGGAGGTGGAGAAATGTCATTAGATATTGGAAGGTATATAGGATACATAACAGAATGGACATGCATAAGTTATGTTTCATTTACAAGAAATTAAAGCATTTGAGTTACTAATTAACAGGACCATTTTGGGGTTAGTTGTTGAGTGGAGGGGAATTTGTGAAAATTGGAATGAAAATCTTTTCAAAGGTGACCTTGGGGAAAAATACAATTGGGTTGTTCATAAAGGACAGAAAGGTTACATGAAATCTCTACTTAAATGTTAGTGCTGATTTCTCAGTCGTGCATATTTAGAAGAGTGTAAAAAGTGATTTTCTACTTTGATAATTAGGGCAGGTCTAAACTACTATACTAAGTTCATCTCTGTTAGGTTCACTTATTATCAGAATTACTGTGATGGCTAATGTCCATACTTCTGTTGGTGGGGTGCGTCTTCCCCAATAGTGTTTCCAGCAACTGAAAATGGGGGATTGCGTGGGGCTGAGTGTCAGGGCTCACAGCTCCACATAGCTCCCAGCTGGGAGCTCAGCTTCCCCCTGACTTCTCTCTTTCCTGAAATAGACAAGATAGCCAACAGCCAAAGTAATTAATGCAGTGTCATTACAGACACTGTCTTGCCCTATCTATACTGACATAAACTGTATGCCTCTTGTAGAGCTGGAATGACATTAGTGTAGTAGGGCACTTATGTTAGCAGGAGCAAGGCTGCAATGTAGACACCGACAGGTCAACATCAGCTGCCTTATGTCAACCTAAATATAGTAAAGGCCAAAGCACAAAATGAGATTAAATTAGACACACAAAGGGTAACAAGAAAATACTCTACAAATACTTTAGAAGCAAGAGGAAGCTCAAGGGCAGAGTAGGCCTATAACTCAAGAAAATAATAGAAAACATGCTAAATGACTTTTTTGTTTTTATCAAAAAGATTAGTAACCATTGAACATCTAATATAGTGAATGACAGTAAAAATAAAGTACGAGCTGAGGCTAAAGTAGAGAGAGAAGTTAAATTACTTTGACTGTGTCTACACTGCTCAGTTAATAGTGGCACTGCTGTGCCACTAAAGCCTTGCTGCTCTAAGGCATGCGATGTAGCCACTCTTTGTTATCAGGAGAGCTATGTCCTGATGACAAAATAAAATCACCTCCAATGAGAGGTGGTAGCTTCATCAGTACAAGAGTGTCTCCCTCTGACAAAGCACTCTCCTCACCAATGCCTATTAACATTTTTGTTGGTCACCTGTGTGGTTTTTTTAACAACATAAATGCAGTATAGATGTAATCTTAGCCAAGTTAGATGTCTTCAAGTCGGTAGGGCCTGATGAAATACATTTTAGAGTACTCAAACAGCTTATTGAGGAGATATCTAAGCCACTAGCAATCATCTTCAAAAATCATAGAAGATGGGGGAGATTCCAGAGGACTGGATGAGGGCAAATACAGATCCAATCTATGAAAGGGGAAATAAGAACCATCCAGGGAATTACAGCCTGCTCATCTTAATTTTTGTACCTGGAAAAATAATGGAACAAATAATCAGTTTGCAAACAATGGTCCGAAACTTTTCATGTCATGCACTTCCTTAGCCCTGTTCATGCCTCCCTTCCAGGAGTTGTGGTCAACAACTGGAGCTGGGCTGCAAGTCAAGGGGTAGAGGTTAATGCAGATAGGGTTAAGGGGGCTATAACCACAGCTGAGGACAGAACTGGTAGTGGAGCTGGGGCTGAGATCAGAGCCATCGTTGAGAACTGGAGCCAGTAGTGGAGCTGTGGTGGGCACCAAGGTTGGGGGTTAGTCTGTGGCCAGGGATGGGAGTGGAGCTGTGACCAGTCTGCAATCTGGGCTGAGCTGGGAGCCAGAGGCTGATGGCAGAGCTGGGGGCAGAGTTGGGGTGGGTGGTACTCCCTCTCCCCCTCCATGGAGGCTGACCCCACTCTGCCACACACCCCTGAATATTCTTCCACATCCTTCCTAGAAGGAGCATGCTCCATAGTTTGAAATCCACTGACCTAAAAGTTGAGGTGAAAAGTAACACTCAACATGCATTTGTCAAAAACAAATCCTATCAAATCAGTTTAATAGCTTTACTTGAAGAGTAACAGGCCTTGTGACTAGGAGGAAAGTGGTAGATGTGGTATAATTTGGCTTTAGTAAGGCTTTCAATACTGTCTTGGCTGATCTCATAAACAAACTAAAGAAATACAGCCTACATGAAACTACTTTTCAGGTGGGCTGACTGAAAAACTGTTCCCTGATCGTAATCATCGATGGTTTACAGTCAAGGTGGAAGGGCATATCGAGTGGGGTCCCTCAGGAATCAGTCCTGGAGTTTGTGGATGGATTGCAAATGCTTTGGAGGATAAGATTAAAATTTAAAATGGTCAGAAGTAAATAGTCTGAAATTTAATCAGGACAAATACAAAGGACTATACTTCAGAAGAGACAATCAATTACACATATATAAATAGGGAAAAGACTACCTAGGAAGGAGTACTGCGGAAAGGGATCACAGGGCTATAATTGATAACATGCTAAATATAAGTCAACAGTGTAACACTGTTGTAAAAAGGGTGGCAATCGTTCTGGGATGTATTAGCAGAGATGTTGTAAGCAAGACATAAAAGGTAATTCTTCCGTTCTATTCTTCACTGGTTAGGCCTCAGTGTCCAGTTTTAAGCATTACATTTCAGGAAAGATGTGGACAAACTGGAGAAAGTCCAGATGAGATAGAAAACATGATGTATGAGGAAAAGAGGTAGAAGAGAGAGAAAATTGATTGGATTTGTTTAGTTTGGAAAAGAGAGGACTGTTGGGGGGGGGGCATAAGTTTTCAAATACATAGAAGATTATTACAAGGAAGCTGGTGAAAAATTGTTCCCAATTTCTGAGGATAGGACAAGAAATGATGGTCTTAGACTGTAGCAAGGGAGGTTTAGATTGGACATCAGGAAAAACTTGTTGACTGTCAGAGTGGTTAAGCATTGATACAGATTGCATAGGCAGTTTGTGGAATTTCCGTCATTGGAGGTTGTTAAGAACAGATTAAACACTCCCTGTTAGCAATGGTCTAGTTATTACATAGTCATAGTTTGAGTGCAAGGACTGGACTGGATGGCATTTCTATTATTCGGTATCTAAATGACAACTTCTTCCTTTGTAGATCTGCATCCTGGGTGTATTCATTCATACATGCTTATCTTCCAAATTTTGGAGTAGCTGAATGTATTTATTTTTCAACGCTGATTAGGTTGGCTTATCCTCAAGTTAGATCTTACAAACTTTAGTTTGAGTTATGGAAATGGTAAGTTAAGGTTTCATGTGAATTTCAACACTATTCCATGGTCAAGAGAAAGCGGCAGAAGTCTTGGATTGTGTCACTACAGTTTTTTGCTCACAAGTTTAACTTTCATTACCTGTGCAGCAAGAAAATGAAGTTCATGCATTGACAGTGGCTTCTTTTAGTTTCTCTTGGGAGGCTTTAAAGAATAAAAAACTGCAGATAGACGATCCAGAATTTGTTCCTCCCAAAATCAGATAGTGCAGTGCTACCTTTTGGCTTTGCAACTACTCTCTTATATTGACTTGCAGTCAGGTACAAATTCTTTCAACTGTTAACTGCATGCCAGTTAGTCTGCTGCTAAACAAGGCTTGTCTGACTTGCTGCCTTTGTCCATGTCTTTCCCTTGTTGCTTTCATTCCCTTTCTTGTTGCCAGGGAACCTTCTCGGTGGCCATGAAATACTAGTTTCACCAGTCTTTCTCTCCTTGAACATACTGAAGAAAACCCGTGCATGAAGGGGTCAAAATAGGTCAGATTTTGGATCCTCAAATGGGATGGGGTTTTTTAGTAAGCACTGCCACCCTGATATGATTGCTCTTTAGGAATATGAATGAAAGACCTGGTCCATGCTACAAAGCTAGGTCGATATAAGTCACCTTGCATCAACCTTCTTGTGCATGTTGCTATACTTCAATTTTGTCTCCTGCTGCCATAAGTGCTCCATTACTACCTGGCTGTAACACCATATCCTTGGGTGTCATTGAGCCATGGTCAGCATACTGTGTTTGATGCAATGCAAATATAGACACTATATGGCCTATATTGACCCTGTTCTGGGTGAGGTATCTCTGTCCAGTGTGCTAGGTGCATGAGGTGAGAAGGGAAAAAACTGTATAGGCAACCACTTAGTCTCTGTGTTTCTGGCTCTCACTATAAAATTTGGTAGTTTGGCGAGAGGCAATGAAATGCCCTTCTTGTCAGGGCAGTGTGGCCTAATGGCTGGAGTCAGTAAAGTGGCCTTTGTGCTCATGGCAGCATGACCTTGTGACCAGAGTCAATAAGGGTACCCATTTGGGGTACATTGTGGCCAGTTCTCTTGTAGGAGAAGAGAGGTGTCACTATGTAGTGCCCAGGGCAGGGGGACGTGGGCCCTCCCTGCTCCTCTGAGTCCCAGCCAGGGCCCTGGTGGTGACAGGGAAGCTCCTCACCAAGTCAGCAGAGATCCTGACACTGACTAGTTCCCTGGCTCACTCACCAGAGAAGAGTCTGAAGTCTCGGCTACTACTTACCCTTTCTGCCCTGGCAATGTTCTTCAGTTCCCACGAGTCTCTAGGATCCCCAAGTGGCGTAGCTGCTGCCAGCACGGTCTCTTCTCTGTGCTTGTCAGGCTGCTTGGAGTCCGTCTGGAGCACTCTGTTGCGTGGCTCAATATTTGGGTCTTGTGACAGCTCCCTGGAGAGATCTAGTGGAGACTGAGAGACACTTGCCACAAACCGCGAGGAGGAGGATGGGGGGTCATGTGACTGGGATGTCCAGCTGTGCCAGCAGTGAGGATCTTTTTAAGACTACTGCTCTCCAGCTAATCCTGGAAAATGAGCACAATGAAGGAAAAGGAGGTTAGGGTAAGTGAATGCATTTCTCATTGCAATGTACAAATGAAGCCTGACTCCACTGCAGCAGGATGCATAGTGACTTTTCATTGATTTATTTGTACTAGAAGAGGTAGCAGTACAACATACAGAAGAAAGGTTATCTGCTTTTCCTTCTGCTATAGAGTTGGTCGAGGTTGGGGGCGGGAGGGGGAAAGGCCGTGCAGAGCAATTTGTTTATATGCTAAGGACTGTCCCATGAATCCTCTTTAGCGATCTTGATGAAACTTTTGTGGAGGTGTACCCTCTCCCAAAAGTTTCTAGAGCTGGCAATCTTAGTTCTTCCTCCATTGCAGAACACTTTCCCACACCAGACAGCAATTGTTTTAACATGTATAATTGCAGTATACAAGCTAATGCTATATGGGCTTAGGTGGCTTCCTAGACACCAGCAATGGGTGTGCTTTCTATACTATTTTTGCACTCAGATAAGAGAGATCCGCTAAAATCACCACTTCCTGTGGAAAATAGTGACAGTTCCCAGGACCTTTGCCCTGCACACACATTCAGAGAAATAGGGCCTGATATTTTTGCTACAAACAATTTGTCGTCCTACTCTGACTCCTGCTCGCCATGACTGGGATGGGAGAGCAGCGGTGTACAGAGGAGCTCCAAAACTGAAGTATCAATAAGTATGTCTTGTTTAAAACTTCTGTGGAACAAGGGAAGGGTTTTCCAAAACTTAACTTTTGCTTTCTGTTGCCTATAAATATAGTTAGATCTGTGTGTATATCATTAGCTGCTGCTATTGTGGCAGTCCTCCTCCATACCCAGAGAATGCCTGAATGCGATAAGGAAAAGGGGGACCCAGAGAATATGTTTAGTGAGATCCTGCATTGAACTGGGAACTCTGAAAAGTGAATATTGTAAACAGTTTGGAGAAGGAAAGAGCAGTTGGGGAAGAGGCCTAGAGACAGAGAGGAAGACGCATAAACATATAAAGAGACTTTTCTAGCAGCAGAGATAAATGCTGCAGACTCTTGCTGACCACCCGGTTCAACAATCATGGTCTTGCTTCCCTTGAAGTTTTTATTGTAGTTGTATTTTATTGCTCATTGCTTTCTTCTCTGGTATTGGTACTGTGAATAACTAACTATTTTTGGTAAATAAGTCATTTTTATTACATTCATGATGTGCTGTAGAATGCCTGTTGCTTCTGAATGCACCCATTGCTTCTGAATACACCCATTGCTTGTAATTTTATGGGGTGATAGATAGAGCCCATAGCATCAGAGTTGAACACAGTGTTGTAAATGTCTGGCAACCATCACAAAAATGAATTAATGCATTAACAGTCTTATATTCATAGAAGCACACTGAGCACCACATATTTCCTCATAGCTTCCAAAACTTCAGAACCAGATAGAGCACAGTCCATACCACATTGAGCTCTGTCACACTGAAACACAGAAATGTGATCAAATCTCAGCTTAAATCTGATGTTTTGAGAGCTAGGTCTTGAAGTGTTCAAGCATTTGACCTTGGAGAACTGCAGATATATTTAAATTCACATCTAGAGTAGGGATGTTAGCATGTAGTCAGTTAAACAATTATTGGTTAATCCTAACAACTACATGCCTCCACCTCTCTCTGTGAGAGGCAGCAAGGTGGGGAGATGGGAGCCAGTGGGAGGCAGATAAAAAGGCAGCAGTGCAGGAGGTAAGTGGGGGCAGGTGGGAGCTGGAACTTGTAGGAAGCCAGTTTTCAAGCTGGCTCCCTGCATATACCAGCTTGGCTCCCGCAGAGCTGGCTCCTCCTATCTCCCCTGCTCTCCTGTGCTGCTACCTCTATCAGAGGCAGCACCGCGGGGAGTGGGCAGGTGGGAGCCAATACACATGAGGAGCCAGCTTCTTGGACCTGCCTCCCCCTCTTGTCTCCCACAGGGACAGGACAGCAGGGCGGGGGCGGGAGTGGGAAGGGGGTAGATGGTATGCTCAGTGAGCTGGCTTTCAAGAGGTACTAGAATGGGAGCTAAAACTCTACAGAGAAAAAGATTGTGCTTAAGTCAACCTATTTTTGTAGACCTCCAATATTTTGGCTTTCATTGAAAGAGCGGATTCCAAATATTGTCAAATTGAACTTGAATTGCATAAATGCTGCCTCAGACTCTGCAGATGTAGAGAAGCTTTTAACTACACAATTCGATCCTTTCTGGCAGAAGGAAATCACTAAGGGTGTGTCTAGACTACATGCCTCCTTCGACGGAGGCATGTAGATTAGCCAGATCGGAAAAGGGAAATGAAGCCGCGATTAAAATAATCGCGGCTTCATTTAAATTTAAATGGCTGGGGCCCGCCCC